ACCTACGATCGGCCTCAGTTCCTGCACCTTCAGACCTACGATCGGCCTCAATTCCTGCACCTTCAGACCTACGATCTGGGTTCAATTCCTGCACCTTCAGATCTACGATCGGGATTGAGGCCCCAGTTCCTGCACCTTAAGACCTGGCATCAGTACCAGTTCCTGCACCTTGAAACCTACAATCGGCATCAATTCCTGCACCTTCAGACCTACGATCGGCCTCAGTTCCTGCACCTTCAGACCTGGATCAGTACCAGTTCCTGCACCTTAAGACCTGCGATGGAATCAGTACCTACGATCGTTCCTGCACCTTCAAGACCTACGATCGGCTTCAATTCCTGCACCTTCAGACCATCCTTCCTGCACCTTAAGACCTGGATCAGTACCAGTTCCTGCACCTTAAGACCTGGATCAGTACCAGTTCCTGCACCTTAAGACCTGGATCAGTACCAGTTCCTGCACCTTAAGACCTGGATCAGTACCAGTTCCTGCAAAGACCTGGATCAGTACCAGTTCCCACCTTAAGACCTGGATCAGTACCAGTTCCTGCACCTTAAGACCTGGATCAGTACCAGTTCCTGCACCTTAAGACCTGGATCAGTACCAGTTCCTGCACCTTCAGATTTATGATCAGCCCCAATTCCTGTACCTTCAGACATAAGATCAGCCCCAAGTGCTGCACCATGAAAAATGAAGGGTTTTGACATGCCTATCTGCTGTAGCTGGCAGTTCCAGTAAGAGGAGGAAATCAGATTTTAGATTATGGTGGTCAGACTAATGACAAATTCTGGTTGGTTAGTATTAGCTATTGCAAATTCCTTTATTATATAGACCCATTAGCATTCAAAAGAGTAAGCCCAACCGAAACTGAAATTTTGTGTATATACAGTAAATTGAGTCTACTGAGCTTAAAAGTTAAACTAGAACCAGGTAGCTCCCATGTATAGCTTTGTTTGGGGGTTAGTGTACAATTACATCATGTTTGTATCATTATAATGACAGGTTTAAACTTTCATTGTTTTCTACCTATATAAACTATTTACAACAGTACAGGCAGTGCTTTTGTTGTAAATAGATGCAAAAGATTCTAAAGTGGAACTAAACCATCCTATCTTTTACAGCCAAGGAAGCGGTCATCTTGGCCTCTGTATAATGTGCAGTTGTCATGGTGTTCCACAAGTGATTACTTATGACACCAACCATTTGATAGCTTGACAGTTCGGTTGATGTCACAAGCAACTGTGACAGTTATTCACGACGCAACCAATTTTGAAAACCATTATAATGATGGGTTTAGTTCCACTTTAATAACCTCTTGGGGACTACAGGGAAGATGACCCCAATTATTCTTTAGTCTTTGTTTCTGCTCAACTTGAAGGCTCTTTCCTTTCACCAACTGGGGTGTTCCGCTTCTGCCACTGTAGTCCATGAACGCTTGTATAAAATACATTTGAAGCTTAAAAATGAGGGTGGGATGGACCCAATCATAAAAATTTAAGTAGTTAAGCAAACCTGGAAACTGAATGGAAGAGATCTTATTATCGCCGGAACTCCAATGAACATGTTTTCTTTTCCCAGGGCCTACCAAACCCTGCACTCTGATTGCCCCATCAGACTATGATACAGAAAGGAAGGTGTTATGTGTATTGAACAATAAAAGGCTACATGGCAGGACGCAGTTCACATTAATATGAGCCAGCATACATCAGGAATGACATATAAAACAAGGAACATGGTCACCAATCACATATATTAATCAAACAGCTCATAAACCCTCTACAGACATAAGAGGAATGATTGTGCAAGTGAGCAAACATTAACAGATCAGATATACTGAAAACAATGTTAAAGGTGAATTCATGGCAATTTTTACATAGTTGCAATGTTCCAGCTTGGACCAATGCAACTGCAGTATGTATGTGCCACAGAAGCTAAAAATCACTGTAGCAGCTACCGTGACCTCCTATAGCTTCACAGTCCCATACCAAGCAGTTGACCTGCTGCATTGTGAACACAGGAGGTCACTCATTCCAGCCGGATGCCATTCAGAGAACACTTTGCATTTTCTCAATAAAATGCAGTGTTCTCAGATTGGATGTGGTAGCGACATTATCGCCCTGCTTTTTCACCTCATTCAACCAGAGAATACTTTGCACACATTTAGAAGATGCGAAGTGTTCACTGAATGGTGCCTGTGCCGAGCGAGCAACGTCCTGTGTTCAATATGCCGCAGGGGTGTTTGTCAACACAGGTCAGCAAAGCTAGTGGAGATCACTGTAGTGGCAGTACTTAATATAATGATTTGCAGATTCCACAGACATCCAACAGGTAATTACATTAGTCCAAGCTGGACCAATATAACTACGAAAAAATTACATACCTGGAATTCAGCTTTAATGCTGGATATTTTTGCAAAGTTACATTGCTCTTAGCTTGGACCATTGTACAATAAGTATGTATATTCCATACCTGGCCGATTCCACATATAAGCAGACAATCACTGAAGTAATTGTGGCTCATATAACGATTATTGCCGTTTCCCGGGTCCAATACTGGGCAGCTGCTGCAGAGTAACTACAGGGGTCAGATTTATCATCTTGGTCACCATTTAGAGAATTACCTGAATTTTTTTTAATGAACACAAGATGTTGTCTGATTAAATGAGGTGGAGATTTTGACATCACCGTCCGGCTTCTCCACCTCATCCAATCAGAAAATGCCTTGTATTCACTAACAAAAAGCAAATTGTTCTCTGAATGGTGCCCATGCTGAGCATGCAACCCCCTTTGGTTACTATGAAGCAGGGCAGCTGTTCAGCATAGGATTCACAAGGCAATGGTGATCTCTGTGACTAATACAGTGATTCTGTGCTTCGACAGGAATTTGCAAGGTATGTCATATGAATGTTTATATTGGTTCAGGCTGGACCAATGGAACTATGCAAAAATATCCAATCCTGGAATTCAGCTTTAAAGAGTGGCCATCTACAAGGCTTACTCAACAGAGCAGTAACCCACAGAAACCCAATCAGCTATAACCTCTAAACTCTGTGCACTACAGCAAACTAAAAGCCGATTGGTTGCTAGAGCTTACTGACTTTTGCACTACAACTCCCTTTTTAAGTAAGGAATGAATATGTAAATAAACAGACTTAAAAGAATTTTAAAGCCTTAAAGTTTCTCTGCATCAAGGTAAAAAAAAAACCCTTCTGTGACTAGGATCCCCCCAGCCCCCCTTATATACTTACCTAAGCCTGATCTCAACCCAGCGCTGTGCCCCAGAGCAGCAGCTCTCTCCCTCCACACAGGGCAGATTGATAGCAGCAGGAGCCATTGGCTCCTGTCAATCAAATCTTGTGATGAGGAGGCAAGGGGTTGGGGGCGATCTGAGTTGTCTGTCTACAGATGCAGGCAGCATGGCTTGGGATTGAGCCTGCATGAATTCCCCCCTAGGGACTGACTTGTGATGAGGGGGCGAGGGGTTGGGGGCGATCTGCGCTGTCTATGTCTACAGATGCAGGCAGCATGGCTTGGGATTGAGCCTGCATGAATGCCCCCTAACAGGTTGACTTGTGATGAGGGGGCGAGGGGTTGGGGGCGATCTGCGCTATGTCTACAGATGCAGGCAGCATGGCTTGGGATTGAGCCTGCATGAATGCCCCCCATAGGGACTGACTTGGATGAGGGGGCTGACTTGTGATGAGGGGGATTGAGCCTGCATGAATGCGAGGGACTGACTTGTGGGGGGGCGAGGGGTTGGGGGCGATCTGCGCTGTCTAGGTCTACAGATGCAGGCTGCACGGCTCAAGATTGAGCCTGCATGAATGCCCCTATAGGAATTGACTTGTCATGAGGGGGCAATCTGCGCGGTCCATGTCTACAGATGCAGGCAGCATGGCTCAGGATTGAGCCTGCATGAATACCCCCATAGGAATTGACTTGTGATGAGGGGGCGATCTGCGCTGTCTAGGTCTACAGAAGCAGGCAGCATGGCTCAGGATTGAGCTTGCATGAATGCCCCTATAGGAATTGACTTGTGATGAGGAAGCGAGGGGTTGGATGCGATCTGCGCTGTCTATGTCTACAGATGCAGGCTGCACGGCTCAAGATTGAGCCTGCATGAATGCCCCTATAGGAATTGACTTCCTATGGAGGGCACTTGCTGAAAAGGAGGATTTAGGAGTGCCGGTGAGGGACCCCAGAAGAGGAGAATCAAGGTTGCTCTGTGCAAAAAAAACATTGCACAGGGCAGGTGAGTATAACATGTTTGTTTATTATTTAAAAAAGAAAAACGCTTTAGAATCACTTTAATAAGAGCTGTGAAGCATTTAGAGCAAAGTGCAGCAACCCAGAAGAGCCAATCGACCCTGCTCGTTCAGCGACCTCACCACACCACGATGAAATCTGATTGGCTGCTACCGGGCTACTGCACTTTGCACATCATTCACGCTCTTTGAACTGTCTTAATGCAAAAGCCTTCGAGAGCAATAAAAAAAGTACAGGGAGAGCTAGCAAGACTGATAACATCCGTACACACACATAAAACATCCCAACACACACAAATCCATTCCATTCCCCGCTCAGACAGACATTGACAAAATGAAATCTGCGTGATTTGAAATTCGGTTGCCCCTAGTAACAGGGAAGCTGACTGCAGCACGGGATTTGAGGGTCATTTGAAGAACATAGCAGTCACAAAGGCTCCATTTTCACCGGCTGATGGGGAGACACAACTATCATCTCTCAGCTTTAAATCAATGGCAATAAGCAGAGGCAGCGTGCAAGGTTATTTATGGAGGCAAGGTCAAGGTAGATTTCCACAATTTGCCCCGTAGCCTACATTACAGATACGCGGCCACTGATGACACTATACCCAGGGCACATTATAAATACGGAGATCTGATATACACAAGTCATAGCCAAGAGAATTCACAATTGTCATTCAGCAGAGGAGTAGGAAAGGAGGGGGGAGATGTATAAAGTAGAATGAGCAAAGCGTACCGTGTACTCCATGGTCCCCTTTGGCTTCTGAAAGGACATCCGTCGCCCATCTTTCTTCTCGAGGGTCTTTTTCTGCCCGGTATCTGAAGGGTAATGAGGATAGGTACGCATTAGATTCATGTTCCTCCTTCAGGATTGTCACAGGCTGTTGGCTAGCACACGGCTGCTGCAAGACATTCTATTTCACCAGTTACAAGGCTTCGCTCTGGAACCGGAGGAGAATCAGTCTAACTGAAACCCAGCTGCCTGCGTTAACGGGTTTTTTTTTTTTTTTTTTTCCCTCCTCTTTAACCAATATAAACTACTGTGACAAGTGTGATACATTAGCCGGGGCTGTGCTTCCTATTATCTGGAATAAAGGATAGCCCCAACGATTAGGAGGCATTTATGTACCTTCTAAAAACGTGCATTTAAAACAGGCTTCATAGACATACTTTATAATCGATTGAAACAAAAAGGCAAATTGACCACGAGATTACAGGAACCTGCGTGAAAGAAGAATTGCAAATCAAGGAAAACAGCTTATTTATATCAAGGCTAAAAACTTTTCCCTAGTTACAAATAACAGAACTATGAGGATTTGGAGCGCAACTTATAGCGCACTTGACGCATATAGGTCCTCCAACCCCCTTCACCCCTGGAGTTTCTCAGAGGGCTGCTAATGTAACATTTGTCATCTCCTAAACCAGACATAGGGGGTTATCTACTTACACTGCATGGTGCAAAATCAGGTGCAGCTCTCCAGAGAAACCAATCAGCTTCCAGGTTTTATTGTCAAAGCTTAATTGAACAAGCTGAAGGTAGAAGCGGATTGGCTACCATGTACAGCTTCACCAGATTTGGAGTGCTCCAGTTTCACCCCTGGTTCACAAAATATGCAGCCGTGCAGGCCACGTTTTGTGTGGGCATGAGAGCCCATTCATTTGAATGGACTCCCGTGCCCCGTGACACGCAGGGGAGAAGTCCCTGCAATTTTTATGAAAAACGCAGCCTGCAGGGGGAACCTCGGTTCCCAGTACAATTGCATTTTCCAGTACGGGCGGCGTGCCGTTAGAACTAATGGCAACTGCCCACGGGTCTGCATTCCTCTGTGCGGGTGGTGCGGCTGCATGGATTTTCGTACGGGTCCGCAGCTGCAACACCCACACAGATGTGAATCTAGCCCCAGTCCTCATGCACACTGGATGTTTTTGACTTTTTTTCTACAGCCAGTAAACCCCCCAGCATGTTATCCTATGTGTCCATGCACACAGACTAATCAGCGTTTCTTTGCCGGAACGTTTTTTGGTTGCAAAAAAACCCAGGACTATTGGGTTTCTAGAGGAGATGTTTAGCTGTACAAACGCTCAAATGTTGAAAAACGCCGCAAACTGGAGTTTTTTTGACCAAAAAAGCCTAGGAGCTTCTGTTACTGAGTGATCCATAGGAACACAATACCAGCGCATTGCCTGCTACTTTAACATGCACAAGACCCTATGCATTGCAGCTGACAAGCGGTAAGACATGAGTTATTGTGCATTAACCAGGGGCGAACTGACCATTGAGGAACTCGGGCACTGCCCGAGGGCCCAGGGTCAGTAGGGGCCCTATGAGATGTCCCTGGTACCTCCCCCCCCCCCCCCCCCCCCCCCCCCCCCCCCCCCCGCCCCCCCTTCATAGGCTTTTTTGGGTGTGGTTTGAGTGTGGGAGAGGACACAGGAGCCCCACGATCCCCTATTGCCCAGGGGCCCCCATGAGTTGTCAGTCCGCCCCTGGCATTAACATATAAATCTAAACTAAGCCCAGAGGGCAGCACAATATCGGGGGGCCCCCAATATTCACTAAATTGACCACCACTGCTTTACAGCATGGTCATGGAGATATATACATAACTTTTGCCTCAATGTGCAGTTATGCATTAATAAAAAGCACTTTTAGGTATCATAAAAGGAATGGCCCTTTATCCAACTTCTTTCACCTGCACTCACCAAAATTTAAAAAAAAAAAAAAAAAAAAAAGTATTTTTTTTTTTTTTTTTTTAAACAAACCAATTTCATGTAACGATGTTGTAGATCTTGCAAGTAAATATTTGTACGTCCATCATGGTATTATGAAAATGTGTACAAAGTGCAGAACAGCAGCTGGATCATGCCATGGGCAAACACCCCCAACCAATCCTGCATTCCCAACACAGTCCCAGCATATCCTTCCACCAGCTGAAGCTGAATTACTGCTAAATGAATTGCTTCATTCAGTGAAGAATGTCACCATTTATGGCTTAAATGGCAAGTGAGGAGCTTAGAAGAAACACACAATCTATTCCTTGTTTCTCCTATATCTTGCAACTACTGCAAACTGGTAAATAAAATATATTTATATATCATTTTGTCTCATGGGATGAGCCGCAATACCAGATTTCACCAACAGGTGGCACCATAGTAAATATGCATAATTAGAGCTACCAGAGCCATTAAACTAAGTCAAACTAAACTCTTCAGGTTAACCATTGGTTAAGCAAATGAGGAAAGAATCTTAAAAGAACCCCATCACGCCACTTTTGTTTCATTTAGTATGGAAGGTTAAAAGAGAATTCTGTCTTTGAGACTGTAAAGAAACAGCTGAGGGTGCCAACCAAGTGCAGTACATTAGTACAATTTATTAGGAAGACACAAATGGCAACTCACTTGGTAAAAAATGGCATTTCTGCTTCCATAATGAGATTTTTGTGATGGTAAACTGTGCAGTGTGCTGCCAGGAATGTGGATGCTGATACAGTCGCCAGCTAGATGGATGCTGAAAACTGGTTTTCAGCATCCATCCATCCATCTAGCTTGCAACTGTGTCAGTGTCCGCATTCCTGGCAGCACACAGCGAGGTATACCATCACAAAAATTGCCTTCTGGAAGGAGAAATGCTATTATTTTTTACCAAGCGATTGAGTGAGTTGCTATTTGTCTACATACTGCACTTACTTGGCGCCCTCTGCTGTTTTTCATATTTTCTACAGAAACTGCTACACTCTCATTGAGGAGCTGACATGAGTTTTTCTGGAAATTAATAGACTCCTTTTATGGACTATTATTCTGTTCTTAACATTCTAGTATTTCTCATCTTTGAACCTTCTTCCACATTCATATTACAAGAAGCCTGATGTGATTAAGCTATACTTCATCTTCCGTATGCGTTCTGAAATGCGTTGTAGTGAAATACCCTAATGACTCTTTAAATGGGTGAATACAGCTAATAATTGCTGTGCACATAAAGCAGTTATTACAAATAGTGTAAAAAAAAAAAAAAAAATCAAACACATACAATTAGTTCATATAGTGAGTGAAATCACATAGTGATAAAAAGCCAAAAAAAGTGAAAAAAAAAAGTCCATAAAAAGTGCAGAAAGTACTTGTAGTTCATTCATTCACAGATTGTTGTGAATGGATGATGCAGATCAGGAAGGGGGGGCTGCTTTAGTAACATGGTACAACCTGCATATTAGTTTAACATGTATTATGCTACTTAAGGTGATGTTAGCCTTTAGGTCTAAGGAATATAGGAAGAAGATGTAATTTTGCTTATTCCTTGCTTCAGCAGCCTTCCTTTACGAGTTACCGTAAGCCTCTTCTTTTTAGTCGTACGCTGATATCATCGTATACAATGCAGGACCAATAGTCCCACATTGCAGCCTTTTTCAACCAGGAGCCCAGGCATGCTGGGGTGCCTCCAGACTTCTTAAGGGGTGCCCTGGCAAAATGCCTAAAAATTGCCCAAAAACTGTATACAAACCAGCAGGTAGATCAAGTCTGCCTTTTAGTCACACAAAGCCACAGGTTTTCATTGTGCACTCTTGTGAACTAGCAGCCAACATCCTAACACCCAAAGATGTCATCAGTTGATGAGGATGTCGGGTGCCTGCACAGCATCCTTTTTTTCCCCCTCCCCTGCTCCTCTGCATCAGCACTGGGGTCACATAAGCTGAGTGAGGGAGAAATATTGGAACTCTATTCCGTACCAGTGTGAAAAGGTAGATTTGCTTTGGAAGAATAAATCATCTTACGTTGGGTGTACTACGTTTTTGGATGTTGCTGCATTATGTAAAACTAGTAGATGAGTTCTTTACATTTTTTACAATGGGGTGCTTCAAGATTGTGCAGAGTTTTAAAGGGTGCCTTGAGAAGATTGTCCATAATTTAAAGGGCGCCTTGAGAAGATTGTCCATAATTTAAAGGGCGCCTTGAGAAGATTGTCCATAATTTAAAGGGCGCCTTGAGAAGATTGTCCATAATTTAAAGGGCGCCTTGAGATTGTCCATAATTTAAAGGGCGCCTTGAGATTGTCCATAATTTAAAGGGCGCCTTGAGATTGTCCATAATTTAAAGGGCGCCTTGAGATTGTCCATAATTTAAAGGGCGCCTTGAGATTGTCCATAATTTAAAGGGCGCCTTGAGATTGTCCATAATTTAAAGGGCGCCTTGAGATTGTCCATAATTTAAAGGGCGCCTTGAGATTGTCCATAATTTAAAGGGCGCCTTGAGATTGTCCATAATTTAAAGGGCGCCTTGAGATTGTCCATAATTTAAAGGGCGCCTTGAGATTGTCCATAATTTAAAGGGCGCCTTGAGATTGTCCATAATTTAAAGGGCGCCTTGAGATTGTCCATAATTTAAAGGGCGCCTTGAGATTGTCCATAATTTAAAGGGCGCCTTGAGATTGTCCATAATTTAAAGGGCGCCTTGAGATTGTCCATAATTTAAAGGGCGCCTTGAGATTGTCCATAATTTAAAAGGGTGCCTTGACTGAAAAAAAGGTTGAGAAACCCTGCCACAATGTACGTGAGGACAGCAAAGACCCATTCAAATGCCACCAAAGGCCTCTCAAAGTAAGAAATAAGGGAAGTATAAAAATTGCTTTTTCCTCTACCCCTAGACTTAACAAGCATTTAACCCTTGCAGTGCAAGTGGGGAGCCCACTGCAAGGGTAGTTTTCTTTTGTATTTCCAGAGTTCAGCTTTAAGTAAAACTGCCACCACAGCTCCACCCTTCACAAAGCACAGGTCTCCCTGGAACAGAAACAGCTAACTTCACATTGAGTGAGAACACTGAACAGAGTACACTTGGCTGTAATAAAGCTTTGTTTTGGAAATAGGTTTCTTCCTGTTTGGCCAACCAGAGAGACTCCTCTATCAAGGACATACATTACAGGGAAGGAACAGAGTGTGTAGTGAAGCTTGACTTTGACAACATTTGACAGAGCTCGCCTTAGACAACAGGTGATGATGGCCAAATGATCTGTGTGCCTAGAGATGTACATTTCTATCACCTGGAGAAATTACGTTAGGAGGAATACAGCAACTGGCAGAATATATCTTCCCTTATCCTCTTGGATGGTTATCAAATCTAAAATGTATGGATGCCATCACATTCCATAGACATCATATCTACATTGTGTTTGGCTTCAGCTGCCATACATCAGCAAAAGTAGGCAAGAAAAATGTCAATTGGAGCCAATAAGATGCACCTGATGTTAACATCCCAATGTAAGGGGTACCAAAAAAAAAAAAAAAAAAACCCCAGTGAAGTCTATTATGAGATGAATTTTAGTATACTTTCCCAGGTATAGATACGCAACACAAGCAGGACAGCCTGACCACAGCCACCACCAAGACTTGTTTATGCCTTATGTGCTTTCCCATGCAATAAATGCATATCATACTCACCCAAAAACTACTGCTCATACCACAGCTTCCAATGAACAACATCTGCAATAACAGTTTGGTGATTGCGATCTGTCACATAAAATGTGAATGGCTCCTACTGTTGGTTAAAAGAGACCCATCACAAGAGAAATGTGGAAGCTCTCTGTTAACCTGTGTGTAAGTGTTCTTACTTACTTTTAACTTTGGGTCACTGAACTTGCCAGGAGAAGATGTTGGCATCAGCAAGAGAGCTAGAAGATGTGAAACTGTTGGAGGGAAGGCAGGTAAAAGGTTTTGTCTTAAAGTGTTACTAACCCCAGGACCCTGCATTCACTATATCTGGTCTCCCACAGTACACAGAACATGGAAATGCAATTATTTTATTAAATATAAACTGCTAAATACTTTTTTTCATCAGCAGTTAGATCAGTCTTGTGACTTCTAGCCGTGTCCAGCAGAGCACTGGTTAAAGCTCGTAGGAGTTTTCATTCTTCCCTGATTGTCTGGACAGCACTGATTGGCCCTGTGTTGATCACATTCACTCTCCCCAAAAAAAATTTTTTCTAACAGTATACATCAAACTGAGCATGTGCAGCTTGCCGCCAAGGCTCTGATCTATCAGCAGATGGATTGGGGACAGTAGAAGCAGAAGAGGATCAGAGAAGATTGGATCAAATATCCTTTTTACACAATGCAGAGGATTAACCCCTTTGGTTCCTCAGCAAGTATAACAAGCATGCTTTACTGCATATACAGACTGATTTTACTGTTGTTGATTGGAACTTCTTTATTGATAAGACTTATGGGGCAGGATAGCAGTTAGCACTTCTGCCTAGCAGCACTGGGGTCCTTGGTTCGAATCTATAAGGAACTAGCACAATCTGTCTGTACTTGCTTGGGTTTCCTCCAACTGTACAAAAACTTGCCAATGGGTCAATTAGCTCCTTGTATAAATTGGCCTTAGTATGTGTGTGCACGTCAGTTAGGGACTGTAGACTGTAAGCTCCTTGGGGGCAGGTACTGATGTACAATATACAAAAGTACAATGTATGTAAAGCACTGTGTTACTTTTATGGAGGCTGTGTAAATTGATGGCCCTATATAAATGTTTGTAATAAATAAAACATTTCAAAGGCAAGAGCTGGCTGGCTGTTACAGCAAACATCTTCAATTTCAGTCCAATACTTGTAGGCTACAATAGGTATTGCAATAAAATATACTGATCTGTGCATAAGATTTGAATGAATAAGTGTGATGGCAGTTGCCCTTTAAATGCTGACTGTTCCATAAATGCTGGCAAACATTACAGCTAAACAAGTATTCAGACCAGCCAATTATGTATTTAATACAAAGCATCCAGAACTTTGTTCCCACAAGACCCGAAACGCAACTTTCAGGAAATCAAATTAAGGATCTCTTAGAATATCTTTCTGCATGTCGTGCATTTTTAATATTAGTTGGCAGAATGCAATTCGGAGTCTTCCTGAAGGAGCAGTTTGGGTATCAGGCAGATCAGACGATAATGAAATACGCTTATTATCAGGGGACTCAGAGGAACACAAGGAGATTAAAGAGCACAAAACACTTTTGGGTCAGCAACTTCGAAGAAAGATTAGGCTGTGGATGATAAGTGATTGAGCTTAATGGGTTTACTTTACTACGTGTGAAGCAACCTTGAAACAGAAAAGCGGTTTGACAATCCTTCACCTTCATACACAGGTAAAATGATGAAAGTATGATGGAAATGATGATGATGAAACATGGCAAAGGCTTAAAGTGGAACGCCTGACTTTTTTTTTTTTTCTACGCTCGGTTTTACAAAAAGTAAGGGATAGATGAGAACATTTGTCAAGTTTTAGTTGCGGTCCCTACAAGCAATACTTAACTGGTGATACTCTGGTTACCCGAGGTAGGAAGTAAAACTCCCTAATGGGTCACAAGCAGCAATAAATTCTTGACATGTTCTGTAACATGTCAACTATATCAAAAAACTATAAAAGTTATGGCTAACATGAAACTTTAAAAACGGAGTAAGAAGGTGACTACAGTATCAAATCCCAAGTACTGCCACAAGCACTTACTGTCATAAATGACAGACGATGAACAGTGACTTCTGTTTCATGTAACCTTTACTTTAGGCTTGGTCAATATCTTTGCATAGTAAAAGCATCTAAAAATATGTAAAAAACTATTTAAAATGTGCCCTCACTGTTTACAGGCAAGCTCTGTGTTCATATAAAAATACAGACCTACCATCATGGGGCTGGAGAAAGTAATTAAAGGACTACAAGTAAGGTGACATCACTGCACATGTGCTCCATCAAGATCTACAAGTTCCTGTTCCAAAGTGGAAGAAGGGTCTTGTAGCCTTTCAATTGTAGATCATAGTTAATGGATGATGGCTTGATGATAATTTGAGGTTGCCTTTTAATAATCACCACTGGTTGGAGGAGGAAAGAAATCCAACATGTTACATGGTTCAACAGGCCCTTCATCCTGGCTACAGGTAGCACATAAAAGATTATGGTCAGTCTATAGTACTGCCTGAAATGTAAAACTAGGTTTACACTGGTGGATTTTTATACCAAAACATTGTCCATACATTCGATGATCCCATCAAAGCGTTGACGAATGTTGTTTGAAAGCACTTCAAAATTTCATTTGCTTTTACCATTTGATTTTGGAATGAATGGAATCTCCTGAATAAAAACTACATTTACTTTTTCAATTTTATTCATCCCGCTCCTTCATTTTAAAACATAGTGATGAGAAAATTCAAACATCAATTTGATCCCAATAACCATTAGAAGCTAAAACGAATGCAATTTTCAAATGAAATTTTACTGGTATAGGGCAACCATGGCAACAGAGTATTGTTAGTGTGAAGAATTTTCATCCCGTTTGTGTGATTGGCACAAAATGTGTCCTATAAAGTTGCACAGAACTTTAAGTAACATTTCAGCCATCTCCTAATCTGTCATTAAAGTGTTACTAAACCCAGGACCCTGCACTCACTATATTTGGTCACTCGCAGTACACACAACATGGAAATGCAATTAAATTTAGTAAATATAATCTGCTGAATACCTTTTCTCATCAGCAGCTAGAGCAGTCTTGTGACATCTATCAGTTTTCAGCTGAGCACTGGTTGAAGCTTGAAGGAGGAGTTTTCTTTCTGTTCTAAAAGGATGCAGAACCCCTGACCTCTGTCTGGATAGTGCTGATTGGCTCTGTGCTGATCACATGCACTCCCAAAAAAAAAAAAAAACTCTAGCAATACACACCAAACAGAGCATGTGTAGAGTACCTTTACACTATATGTCTTATCAGGAGATAAGAGGGGGACACTGGAAGAATGAGAGGATCAGAGAAGTCAGGATCAAACAGCATTTTTACACAATGCAGATGATTCCACAGTGAGTATATCATTCATGCTTTACTACATATACAGATTGATTTTACTGTTGTGAGTTTGGTAACACTTTAGGTTTACTGCAGTGGGCCTTATACTAGATGATGGTGCTAAAGAGATGCCAAAGATTCAGGCCTGTTCTTACAACACTGAGACTGATCACGTGATTACAGCAGGCAAATGTCTCCATTTAGCACTATGTTTAAAGAAGTTTCTGCAGTGCCACATCTCTATAGGCTACAAAGAAAACGGCGATAAGAATCTGCAATAAAGTTGATTAAAATCCTTAAAAATGTATATAAATTTACCTAGAAAGGATTGCTTATGTAACAAGTGTAGGATGTCTGGTGCACTGTTGAACCAACGATGCAGGGGACGTTTCAGGAGTTTTGGATTCTGGCGCCCCCTGTTGCACTGTATGGTTTCCTGCAAGTGTCAAATGCTGAACATTCTTTAGCAAAAAAACTCAGATCTTCAAAGAAGGGTAGCTCAGTAGAACAGGCAGAGGGATGTATATTCACCACTTTATTTGCAGGGGGGGGGGGGGCTGTACATTACTTTTTTTTTTTCTCAAGTGAGATTAAAAACATTAAATTCTTACAAAGTTCAGTTCAGGGGTATCCAACCTTTTGCCTTTCCTGGGCCACATAGGAAGAAGAAGAATTGTATTGGACCGCACATAAAATACACCAACAATAAGGACAGTTGATGAGTGGAAAAAGTCAGGCAGATCACAAGTTAATGATCACGAATATAAATAATGTACCTATCTGAGTAATAAAACTTTTTTTGTAATTTTTACAAAAGTAAAATAGGGCAACATAAATCTAGTATATTTGACAATTTTTTTGATACAGTACCCGGTTCGATGGAAGTAGGAGCAATTCTAAATTAATTCTCAAGGTGTCAATCAAATATTTTGGTTAGAATGTTGCCCTTTGTGTGCTTCATGCTTGGACATAGTTGCTCACAAATATAGGTGCTATTGAAAACTGATGACATAAGGCGCGATTCAGAAAAGTGGGAGATTTTTCTTTCGAAAGACAAAACTTATAAAAAGTCCAGTAAAGAGACACTGTCAAATTTTTCTTCGGTCTCATGTGTTTGGCAAAGTGTAAATGCATTTTCACACAAAAAAATAAAAAAATAAAAAAACGTTGTTTAGGAAGTCTATGATTTTGTGTTGGGCCACATTCATAGCTGTCCTGAGCCCCATGCAGCCCGTGGTTGGACAAGCCTGCCTGGTTTGGTGGATGATGTAAAGTAAACCACTTAGTAAGAATATTATTTTTCCCAATAAGTTTCCCTTAAAACCAATATAAAGATAAACATCCGGACCTCTGTGCAACAAGAATCTACCGACAGTTTGACATTAAAATGATTACAAGATAGGCAGTCACAAAATGAGGATAAAATAAAATGACGGGCAAATACTCGCAATAAAACCGCAAGTGAATTTTAGAAAATGTTTCAGTCAGCAGCAATTATATCCATGTAATCTGCCTATATAGAAGAAAACTCTGACAATGGCTGTAAAATCTCATTTAATGTTTAATAAATAAAAAAAATCAGCAAAATCAGCAAAATCAGCAAAAAAAAAAAAACCACACAGCTGTTGTGTGGTTATTTGTGTTGGCAGAGTCACATCTCATTCAGTTCACATTGTTACAGAGCCAAGCAGAACCATAAACTGTTTAAAACATGTACAGGAGTCACTGTACCAGCCACAAGATTGGGAATGGCATACATGCCCTGGACTGCTGCACCAAACTGTGTGGTATTGGACTACTAGTGATCATCACCACAATGCATGCATTGTGCACCCTGAGATCCCCACCTCTTGTAAAGCCAACTTCCTACTTCTCCTGGCCATCAGACTGAAGACCACACACTCACACTGGAAGTATGATTTCAGCTGCCATGTCGCAGCACAGTCCAAT